ACACACACACACACACACACACCTATAATGCCATCAAGTCAAGAGGGTAGTTCACCAGAGATCCGTCTCAAAGATAAGCGAAGGGCCCTGTTTTGTCTAGTCGGATCAATCCGTCTCGGATCTCTTAATGCGCCAAGGGACTCCACGGTACATGGTTTTTTATCGATTCTGCATGTTGGACAAAGCCAAAAGATAAGACTGTCTGGTGTCAACGGATTCTCACCTGTCAAAAAAGCTTTAATTAAATCATTTTTTAAAGATTAGTCCAGGGTTCTTAGGATAAATGATTCTAAGAAAGTTCTTTGAGTTACGCGTGTATCGGCCTTTCTGTTAGGACGTTGTATCCCTTTCCGTCCGGGTTGGCCCTGAAAGGTAATGGGATCGGGCCGATCGCCCGACTCGGTTGCCTCAAAAACAAACGAGTTTGTTTTCAGTTTCAGGCGATCGAGTCGGGCGATGGGCCGATCCAGCAGTAGTGGGCACCACGTATAAGGGTCTATACCGCCTCCTAAATTACCTAAACTGTGTCGATAAGGGCGTAATATAACTCAGTTTTATGTGAGTGAAAACGGGCATACGTCATCTCGGTTATCAATGAAGAATTTGGACGTTGTATGTATGTATGTATGTACACACTGAGTGAGTTAGGAAAACCTTGGCCGTTGAAATTGAAAACAAAATGTGACCACTCCACCACCCCATCTCACCCTTCTTTGCACACACACTCACGCACGAGCACATTCACACACACTCACGCACACACATACATACACGCACACATACACATACACATACACATACACACATACACATACACACACAACACACACACGAACACACACGAACACACACATACACACACACACGCACATACATACACACACATCCACATCCACACATCCACATCCACACATACACACATACATACACACACATACACACACACACACAACCCCTTCTCCCCACACACTTACACACACACACACACACACACACACACACACACACACACACACACACACACACACGCGCGCGCGCGCGCGCGCGCGCGTGGCGTCCAGCCCTCTTGGAAGCTAGGTGAAATACCTTCTTTGTCAGGCCCTTCCCTCCGTAATGACGATGTTGAGCGCTCCGCTTGCGCCTTAGCACAGACTTCAACAAAGGTTAGGGGCCACTTGCAAACGCTCTGAGTGGTCTTCTTGGGTCGACCTGCACAAGGGCGTTTTTGAACTGATCCAGTGGCGTGATGGTGCTGCCTCAGGCGGACAGTGACAGAGTGTGACACTGCGAGACTTCTAGCAACTTCTCGGGCTCCAACTCCATCCTGCAGCCATGCCATAGCTTTGGCACGATCAAAGTCCCTCAGCTTTCGTCTTGGTGGTATGTTGATGCGATGCCGGCTTATATTGTCACCAAAGTGAGCACAGTTAGAGACCGTACGTCCGTTTATGACGTGCACCAGAAATTTTAACTGAGAAAAGTCCTTGGTGTCGCACACCAGTCGATAAAAAACAGCAAATTTTTCTAAAATTCCCCAAGGATTTCCATGCTGCACGTGGTAGTTTTGATCCTTTGGGAGGCTTTTCAGTACGCGTTGGTAACCCATTAACACTTTCAGAGCAAACATTTTGAAACATTCCTTACTGTTTTTTTTTCGGATATTTTAAAAAATTAGGACTGTCTGTCATGGTGGTCCTTAACTGTTGTTGAAGTCTATTATTCTCAGTGGCTCTTGAAGATGCCTTCGAGTTGAAAAGTTGAGCCTCGTTAGTATTTTCCAGTTTACATTTTAAGACCCACAATTACCCAAGACTCTCTTTCCTTATCTTACTTTTCCTATAATGACAATTTGCATATTTGGGTCCAATCTTGTAACTTACCCAGTTTGATTTAATGATTATCTCTGCCTTCGGTATTTTCCTCAACCTGAAGTTTCAGTCCACACCTGAATTTAACCTTCAGTTCTTTTGACTATAGAAAGAATCCAATTTTAAAAAAAAATGACAACTTGCATGACGAAATGACCTGACAGGTCATATTATTATTATACCGTCATTAACTTACTTATTTTAAGAGAAGCAAGGTTAACAGAAGTAACAGTACGCGTGTGGCAAATAACGTAAGAAGTCGGCTGTTCATAGTGCTGCGTTTCTTTGTATGTGAATACATTCCCTATAAACTTCTAAGGACTTTCCGATTCGGTAGACGCGTGTAAACTTCAATCCACTTTATACTTTTGTTGTTCACTCGTATGTATAACAAAAGGCTTACTCTTTGTGATCATGTGTGTGTGTGTGAGGGGAGAGGGGTGGATCCTTTTTTCTGGAGATAAGGCTTGTTCTCTATGACAAAAGCTGCAGCTGCTAAAACACACATTGTTTTGTCGATATCTATTACAGTTCCTTCCTGAATCTCACCCCCCCCCAACTCCCCTACCCCACAATTCTTCATAAAGGAGACACGTGTATAGGGTAGGGATTCCGATAACGAATCTCGATGTTGGGAGAACAGTCACTTTATTACCTCGCTTTTTCTATAAGAATCTTTGCTTGAATTTGTTGTTGATATACGTCGGCTCGTGTAATCAGTTAAGCAGGGACAAGTATGACTCTATGAAATATGATATTATAAATATCTGAGAAAAAAAACAAAAAAACATTTTTTTATCTGTGCTAGTGGTGACATCTGTGGAATTACGAGTGATGCCCTAGGACGCCAATAATAAACGTTCTAAAAGATACAGCCTTTGTTTCTTGTCAGGATATCATTTTCACAGGAAAAAACAGAAATGGAATCTTATCAGTCTCCAGAGTCTTAGTCATAATTCGATAAGTTTTATTGATCTTTTAAATTATTTTTGTGCTTTGATATCTGAACTTCATTGATCTCTCTGATGACTTTGTCAACTTCTTGGAAAGAACACAAAGACATAATGAAGTGTTTCTCTCTTTGCCTGAACGATCAGAGATTTTTGTTCTCGGAGATTTGACAGAAGAGTGTCATTAGTTTTGATTTCACGTGAACGTGAGCTCTCTCGTGACATAGACGACATGACGGACGGCAAGGAAAATCTCCTTATCAGCGGCTGTGGGTGAGTATGAAGTGTTCTTTTTTAGAACAGATGTGGGCGAGGGGGGTGTTATACGCCCCTCTCAACACAATGTATATCTTCCTCTCTAACGATAACATTACTTAAACGCAATCCCTCATCACCAATCATCACCACTATTATTTCTAACATCATCACCGCTCTCAGATCAATGACTTACATCTGTAATCCTGGAATTTCTATCTGCTATTACAGTTAATTGATATACTAAGTATGCAGGTAATACACTATTGGACACTATCATATACACATTTTTCTACAAATCAGATGGCGTCAATCTCATAGAAATGGGCAAGGGGAAGAACAAATGATAAAAAACCCCACAATGTAAGTCATTTAGGAGGCCGGCTTCAGCTGTCTGTGAGGGCCAACACTGGTTTTGAGTGTTACAAAGTACCTGCACAAAGACCGAAATGCTCCATGAAAATTCTCCCCACATGCCACACAATAACCGAACTCAGGTCTTCTGTGCGCGATGGTGAAGCGCCTAACCGATATATCACAGACGCTGGTGAATACATTTTAAATTCAACGAAAAATGCATGAGACCAT